TGGACAGTCCTTTCATAATCACAGGAGAGTCGCCCGAGTGGAGAGTTTTGCAGAAGAGAGCCAGGACTCTGTGGAGTGGCCGTCTGTCTGCACTATTGTTTTGCAGGAAAGGGGGAGGCATGTCTTCGGACAGTGGGGACCAGGCTCATTGAAAGGTTGCAGAGCCAAAGAGGGGAAAGAATACTCTCCGAGTTAAACCAGCTCTTTGAAGTACTCTGGATGCCATGTCTGCGGGTAAGACGTTAGCAAATACTCACAAGCAGAAGGAAGTAGAGATGCCAGGAGTCTGTGGGGGTCTCGCTTTCTCCCTTGCTTTGCTTTTGCTCTTCCTGTGGAGCCTCCCCAGAGGAGGGCCAGGGCTGAGGAACGGTAAGGCCCTGGGTCTGCCCTGGCCTTGCACATTCCTAACAGCCACGTGACGCAACGCTGAGGTCCAAGACCTCCCTGGGTCTGGCAAGGCAGTACTGCTGGCTTGGTTAGACTGGCCAGGCTCTCCAAGGTGGGCTTCTAGGAGGTGGAGCCCACCAGGCACAGCAGACGGGCATGAGCAAGGGCTGGGTGCACTCAGGGGCAATCCACCTGGCCCGGGAGACGGAGCAGCTGTCACCTGACCTGTGCGTGCCTCTTAGGCCACGTGCCGGACCATGGCGCCGGCCCTGGCTTCTTCCCTTTCCTACAAGACCCTGGCAGCCACACTCAGGGATCATTCGGAGTAAGGACCACCAGAGGCATCAGAAGATGACTTAGAGTGACCCGCATCCTACTGTTCACAGCGCTAAAAGATGCCAATCTTTAGGAAACTATATTTTATAACTTTTAATGCACCCGGAACTATTTCAAAGTGAAAAGGTAAAATTCTGAGCAGACCAAATCCTAGGGCCTTCACTACCCCACGTCTCCTGGAAAGGTGTGCACGTTATACCTCGGCATCGAGGAGGCTTCCCTGACGTCCACACTCACGCTGACACTGACCGCCAGGCTCTCGTCGGTAAGTGCTACCCGCCCGCCCCTCCGGCTTCCGGGCAGCCCCAGGCTGTCCCCACGAGGCCAGTCCGCACGGTCACTAGAATGGCAGGCCGCCCTTTCCTTGGAGGAGATAAAAAAGACCTGATACATACCTGCTCTCGCTGCTCTGGGTGCCATTTTTTTCCCACCTGAACGCAAAAACCATTCTCAGACTGTCACGTTTCCATCAGAATTGCTTTGGCTTTTATCTGTAACCTCTTTTTAGATAAAGAGTTGCTTTGTAAAGTAAGTTAGGGTAGTTCAGAAAACAGAGCTGACATCTGCTCTT